ATAACATTTAAGATCAGGTTTTTTTGTTTATTTTATTAAAAACAATATCATATTGCCTAAATCGGCCTAATTAATAATGCGTCAAATCGGAACACTGAAGAAACTGTGACCAAAATATTATTTAATATCCCCACCGCCATTACTTTCGGCGGGGACTGTATATATTGAAAGGAGTTTTTTGCATAATATTAGAGAAAAAGAAGAAATAAATGGTTATGTAAAGGTTACAAAAAACTTGAAAAAGATGTTTTTTTAATATTATAAAAGATAGGATAGAAAAACAAAAGGTGAGATACATCTATATATGTTTCAAATTGCTGGTATATAACTTTTTTTTATATAATAATTAAAATTGAAATATTATTATATACTGTATATAAATAAGATGTTTGAAATTGAAAATGTAATTATTATTTAGGATTTTTGTAAAATTGATGACTTTGTCTACTTTATGAGATAATATCATTATATTATTAACTAATTATTTAAAAAAGATCTATAAGTTTATTATTTAAATTTTTTAAATATAATATAACAAATTCTTAATCCTTATTATGCTACTTTAAGAAATATGATAATATTTTAGCAGTATTAAATTTATTATAAATTTATACATTTCTAAATTTACTGATAATATTATATAAGTTTTTATTATTATAATATTCTGAAATTTGCTAATAAGAAGATTGTATTATTAATAGCATCTAAATAACTAGAAACTATATAATATTCAATATTATTTAAAATTGTTTAAAAAAATTTCAAATTTTTTAAAGCTAAATCAATAATGTTTAAATTGTATTGATAATTATAACAGTTTAAAATTTGTATAATATTTGATTGTTTTTATAAAATTTATATATCATAGATAATTTGTTTTTTTAAAATATTATTACAATAGTTATTAACATCTTTAATCTTCTTTATCTAATTTATATTAAATTTTTAATAGACATATTTCTGACGTTAAATAATAGATTTATTAATATAATCAAGATTCTTACAATATTTATTAATAATAAAACTATGATTTTTTATATATATTTCAACTAAAATTCAAAAAGAATTCTAATTATTAAATATATTATTAATCTGAAATTTTATTTTATTATACTATTTTATTAAATATTAAATAAATTATCATTATAAAGACTTAAAGTATCATAGTTCATAAATTATAATGAAATTTATAAGGTATTTAAATAAGAAAATATCAAAGATAGTAGTTATAAATCAAAATAAAAAGAAAGAAAGAAAGAATTTAAAAAAGCTTAATGAAAAAATAATTTATTATAATATTACATTATATTACATAATTTACATAATGCTGCAATAATATATATTGGTAGTAAATACTATATTAAAATTATTTTAATTATTAGATAATTAATTAATATTATATTTATTAGATTTTTAAATAATTTAATATTGTATATAAAGATTAATAAATCAAATCTAATGACATTTTTTTAATAATTATTTTATAATTAAAAATTTATATAGAATTTATTGAATTGATTTACTAGTAATTAATAGCTATTTTTTCTTTGGTAAAGGTTTTTTTTAAAAGATATAAGCTTTAAAATGATATGGAATATTTTAAAATAAATATAGCAAAAACATTTTGTAAAGAAAGAGAAGAAGAGAAGTATCTTTTAATTTGAGATTTATATTATACAATTCAAAGAAAAGCATATAAAATTATCATTTTACAATTCTTTTGTTAATATATTGTGAAGCTATATTATTACGCAATAAATTTCAAGTTAAATAATCATGTGAAAACCTCCCAATTATTTCCAATAATATCATTGTTTTTTAAATTTTTATTTCCATCAGAATTATTGCTTAAAGATGTTACTATATATTCTGCTAATATTAATAATTTTTTACTGATTACTGCTAAATTTATATTGTTGCAACACTTTTGTAACGGTAAAGGAACTATTAACACTACTATTACTAATTATTTATTGTTGGGACCATTAGATTCACGTGATTATTATATATCACGTATTGCGTATCGCGTATTGAGATTGATCTCTGGTAATTATTCGGAGCTATCATCATAACGAGACTTATTTCGAACAATCAGGTCAACAAAATTCTATATTTCATTTATACTCGATTATTCCTTTTTCATTAGAAAATGATCATTAAGATGATTCTTGGAGTTAGTACCCGAAGCCTCGAATGACAGATTATGTTTGTAATTTGAAATTTTATCTCATCAATATCTGATATTAGACACTAGAGGTTCATTTGAAGAATGAATGTCCAATTTAAAAATGAAAAGATGACTAATTAGGTTCTAAGGTAATAAATAAAAATTTGAAGGAAGATCATGATTTTTCATAATCCTCGAAAACAGAGTTACTTAGAAAAGGGATAAGAGCGAAAAGACGTTATTAGAAACTTAGCAAATTTTACGCAAAATTATTTGCAATTCATATTATATAGAGAAAAACGTTGGAATGCAGAACATAAGGAAAAAAAAATTACAGAACTGAATAAGGAATTACAAAGTAAAGATTTTCGCTTCAACAAAGTAAAATACGATTTGAGTCACAATTAAAAGGAACTTCATCGTTTGAAGAAACCTAAAACGCATTAATAAAAACTTGTAAAACAATATTTCATGCATTACCATTAACAACATTAATTGTATCATCCCATTAGAATATGATTTTATGAAATTAGTTACAAATGAATTATTTTCAGGAGTATTTATTACCTGCAAGAAAAGTTTCAAGTTCTGTCCCAATTTGTTCAACTTGATGTGGTATTTTTGTTGAATTGTAAATTACACGAATGAGTAGAGGTTTCTGAATTTCCTACAAACGCATTCGACATAAAAATGCGGATGGCATCGACGAAATTTTTTATCTCATTTTAATTGAAGTGTTAAAAAATTAATTGATATATCTATATTCCTTCAGTTTTCCGGAAAGAACATATAAATGGAAAGACGCAGCAATTGAAAAAATTGAAAATTTTGTACACGTGATCATTTATGAATTATGTTATGAAAAAGAAAGAGTATATGCTAATAATAAGCGCGTTGAAATTTATTTTAACTGCATCGTTTTTTTTTTTTTTTTTTTTTTTTTTTTTCTCCCTTTTGCTTTTTCCTTTTATATGAAATAAAAAAAAAAAAATTCACAAGATTTTTGATTTCTACACTTATTTTGTCCAATTGCGTAAAACGAGGATCTTTTTATACCTAAGTAGTTAAAAGCTTTTGTCTATTAATATATTACGTATTACAGATTAATTGACATGTGAACATGATAAAAAAATAACAACCCATTACAAATTGCCAAGTGTCGGTCGAATTTTTTTACTCCCTACTTTGAACCGTTCTTATTTCGAAAGCTTGATTTTTTTTTTACTTTTTTTTTTTTTTTAGTAAATATGTTTATCTTCAACTGGTTTTTTGATGTTCTAGCATCTTTGGGTATGAAAAATTTGATCAAACTTCTACTATACACCTCTTTGCCTTCATCAGATTAACCAAGCCAACTTTCTTCATATATCGATAGGCCTTGTTAATAAAAATGCAAAAATCTTATTCTTGGGTTTAGATAACGCAGGCAAGACTACTTTGCTACATATGTTAAAAAATGACCGTTTGGCTACTTTGCAACCAACATTACATCCTAGTAAGTAAACGAGCGAGCTTTGAAAGGTGTTATTGGAACGAATGGGAATTATAGAATTATATGTTAAGAACGAATTAATATAATTAGTCAATCCATTCGAATTGACAAATATTTATCTTTGTGTTAATTCAAATTTTTTTTTTTTATTTAATAAAGCCTCGGAAGAATTATCCATAGGTAACGTCCGTTTCACAACTTATGATCTTGGTGGGCATCAACAAGGTAAATAAATATGTAGATTTAATATACAATGCAATTTGATTTCATTATAGTATATCAGTAACTTGGTTCTCCAATATTTACTTGATTATAATAACTCTTTTTTTTTTTTTTAAAAAAAAAAAATAATATAGCTCGTCGTCTTTGGAAAGATTATTTCCCAGAAGTATCTGGGATTGTGTTTATGGTCGATGCTCAAGACCGTGAACGATTTACGGAAAGTAAAACTGAATTAGATGTATGTGCAAACCGATTGTCTGATGAAAATTTTCAATCAATTTAAAATATATTAACGAATAGGGTTTCATGTATTTAGGCCCTACTTTCGATTGAAGAACTTTCAACTGTACCTTTCTTAATTCTGGGAAACAAAATTGATGCAGCTGGTGCAGTGTCGGAGGAAGAATTGAGACATGCACTTGGACTGTTTCAAACGACCGGAAAGGTTAGTTAGTTCCTTGTTATGAAATTCCTTAAAACTCCTTGAGACTTTTTTAATAATATTTAATCTCTATAACTAGGGTAAAGTTCCGTTAAAAGATATTCGTCCTATTGAAGTTTTTATGTGTTCTGTTGTTATGAGACAAGGATATGGTGATGGTATGTATAGAAAATATGTTGATGTTTTACATTTCTTCAATGGAGATTACTGATAAAATTTAAAATTCCCTTCTTTTTAAAGGTTTTCGTTGGATATCTCAATATATGTAAAGTCATTTAAAATAATTAAAATACTACAATAATAATATTATATATATATTTTTTTTTATTTTTTTTTCTTGTTATTCGAACATTAATAAAATAACTTTAATTTATTATTTGAAACTAATGAATATACACATTTCAACTTAAAAAACGAGATGATAATATAGAATGTTATAAAAATATAAAAATGATTTCAATAATTTCTAATTTCTATTATCTTATCCAACTTTGTGGGAGTACTTGACCATAAACTTTTAAATATTCGGTACGTAAAGGAATTTTAGGATCTTTACCAAATTTCCCACCTATAACCAATAAACCGGTAGTCAATAAACCAATTGAAGTAATCATTATACCATTTCTGAGTTTCTTTTTTGCAGAATCACTAAGAACGAATTGTTTTTCACCGTTTTTCTTTGATACAGAACCTCTTAAAATTTTATAAACGACAGGAAAACCGCTAGTAACATGATAAGCAGTCAATCCGATTAAAGCGGTTAAGCTCAAGTATGAAGTAACTGGCCATTTTCGAAGAGAAAGTGTAACGTAAGTCGCGTTAATTAAAGAAGAATCGTCAAAATGTCGTCTGGGTAAAATACGATTAATATAAGTATGACCAAATACCAAAGGAACCAAAATGTATCCAATTACATGATGATTTGGAAGCAAAAAACTTAATGCTCTTGATAAATAAGAACTAGAGATGGTAGTAGTTGTTTTGGTGGTAATCTTTTGTCTAACGACGTTTCCTTGTTCATTCTTTTCATCCGTAATAATTTTTTCAACCTTTTCATGAACATCTTGCGTAAGTTTTCTATCATCACGTTTTTTATATTTCATATAGAGTTTAATACTACGTTTTGCTATACCAGCTGTTACATGTCCAACCAATGCACCAAATACTACTATGGGTTCTAAAAATTTACTTTGATAATAAACTCTACCAAGTATAATGGTTTTATTCGTTAGGTCTATACCACCAAAAGTGGCTAAAGTCGTTGCGCTTAGATGAGTTACAAGAAAAGTGCTAAAGGCTATGGCCGTTCCTGCTTGAACAATCGTGAGAAATCTATATACTTTTGGTAAAGTAATAGTTCGAGCTTTAGGTTCACAAAGTCCATCACCACCACCGCCATCACCAACTGTACTTTCACCTAAAGTTGGTTTGGAGTTCGACATTATTATTATTATTATTATTATTATTTATTACTTAATTATTGAATTCTAAAAAAAAAAAAATTTGAACCAAAAGAAGGGATGAAAGAATTAAACAGGTTACGTTTTTATAACACTGAAGTAGTACAATTTTATACGATATTATATATAGAGACTTCTACGAAACTGCCCGATGGTCCCGATATATCTGATCCATCTCAGATTAAAAACATCATGATGGGAAAAATTTAAGGGAGTTCAAATTTCTTTCGATGCGTAATCAACAATTACGAATCCATTACCGAAAAATGATGATATGAATTGACCATTTATAATGCAAAAAAATATGTGGGACTTTATGATTTATCGATATTCCGATTTCCATCAAAAAGATCATCATTTATAAAAAAATATTGGTATTTTAGAAAATATAGAGGTAAATTTATAAAAGAAAATTAAACAAATAAATTACTATTCTTGGAACCTCATCAAAAAGGTGAAAATTTTCCTTTGCCAAGAGGAGCCAGTTGGGGTTTAATAAGTTATAGATATGAAATAAGGAGAGAAATTGAAGTTAAAGTATGACCAAAATAACCAACAAAGGTTGATTGCGATTGTGAGCAATCGTTTCAATCAATTCATTAAAGTCGACAGACAATGACCTGTTTTGGTTTCTTCAGTCAATCTTCAAAAGTAAATGAATCCCTTAGGCTTGTGAGGATGAATTGCTCTTGATTTTGCTGCAAACTTTCTAAATGTTTTTCTAGGTTAAAGATTTCATCCAAAAAAATTTGTAATTCCTCTGGGGTAAATTTCTCATTTAAAACCTCTTTTAGTTTAGCCAACTTTTCAAAGTTAGGATAATTATTGCTGTGAAGCAACTTTGTGTGCTTTTTGAGTAGTTTTTCGAAAAGATATTTTTCAACTTTGATACACTTTTCCTTGGTATCATTAGTTAATTGTTCTAATTCCTGTTTTTTAAAGGAATTTGGATAGTTAAATCTTGGATTTTGAGTCTTTTGATTTCGTTTTGGAGAGTTTTGAAATTGTAGAGTTGGTCGGGATAAATTAGGTTGTTGAGTTGGTTTAGTTCTTGAATGGAAGACTCGTCTCTAGTAATTGACCATAATTGTTTGACTACTTCTCCATCATCTTCACCTTTTCCTTTATAACCTTTTCGTCCAAACATATAATAGTTTTTTTCCATAATCTGCTTTAAAAATTATATTTCTTTTACACAAAATGGCAGTTAAAAAAAAAAATTTATTCTTTTATTGAATTCGACTTTTTCTCGATCAAAAACTTGTCTTAATTGTCACCACAAAAACCCTGCCAAAAGACTAAAAAGTAATAAATCCAAACGTAAAAATTCTGAACCTTGTTTCAAAACATTAAATGAAGAGGAGTCGAAAAATAATTTTAAAAGAACGAGAAGAAAGGTCTAATGAAAGTTCGTGTAATGTCTAGTTTAAGAAATAAAGTTATTTATCATTATTTATCATGTACACTCCCCTCCAAAAAATATCCGACCACCCGTCGATCATTGCAAATCCTAACATATTAAAATTTGAATT